ATCCTGACTCTGACTTCTTTGGACAGGAGGAAGAAACCCAGTTTGGATTCTCCAGCCCTGCTGGAAACCGTGGTTCCCAGAAAGAATCAGACCTTATCACGGTGACTGGAAGCTCATTTTTGATATGAACTAACTCTATTTGTCCCTTGATCCTGTGGCTCACTTTTGATAGACTAAATTTGAGGATATTCTGGACTGAATGCTTACATGTTTGTTTGTTTGTTTTTTTTTTTTTTTTCTTGCTGGTTGGCAGAAGAACATGTCTGTGGACTCTGGGTTTAGAGATTTAGGTTCTGATCTGGAGTCTGGAACTGACATGTTCTGTGTCCCTTAACAAGTCGCCAAATCTGTCTGAGCCTTAATTCCTTATTTATAAAATAGGTGGATTGAATAGATTGTTTCTATGGTGTTTTCATCTCTAGTTCCATGATTGATTTTTGTGCTCCTTTTGGGAATTTTTTAGAGTATTTTACAGTGTTTTGCATGTGTTTCTAATGTAATGGATTGAATCCTTTGAACATTATATATTCAGAGAGGAAATGATGTTTAAAATTTTCAAGAAATTTTTACCTCATTCTCATCTATCCATAATATCAGTAGAGTAAAAACTGGTGAATATGAGTTGGTTGCTTTATCTTTTCATCGGTCTAGATTTTTCTTTCTATAGGAAGCTTTATTTTTGTTGTGAAAATGCCAGGGTTTTGATGTATTACCAATATATTATGAAATATTGATTTGTTAGCATTGAACAAGTGTCCTTAAAGTACTCATTTAGTCTCGCTGAGCCTTGCCTTACTTTTCTAGCTTTACAACTGTCATAGAAATGTACATTATTCTGGTGCATACTACTGCTATTTATGCTTGGAATTGTTATTGATGAGAAAATACATATTTTGTATTTGGTGCATCTGTTTTTCTTTTCTTGTACCCCTAGTTCCTTTGTCAAATTAGAGAAGTTGGCAGATTTTTATATCATAGTTTTTTAGGCAATAAAAGTTTATGAACTTTAAGAAGGATACAAGAGAATGTGTTCCTTCATCAAATTGTGAAGGAATTTTCTCCACACAGTTTTATGTACCTTTGATCACAGTTCCATTACTCCAGTTTGCTGGTGTCTGCTCTATGTTCAGATTTAGCTCCTGCCTGACTGTATACTCTAGTATTCTAATAAAATCTGGGAGTGCAACAGAAGATAATCTTCAAAGTCTTTGACCTGGAGACCTCATGCCTGGCCTCTCTGAATGGGAGGTTTGCTTTGCATTTTGAAGAAATACTGTCAATCTTAACATAAGTGTAACATTTTACAGTTTGTACAGAACTTCCATGCCTACCATATTTGATCTCACAATTCTCATGAGTAAGTCTGAATTTCAACTGATACTGAAACTTACCTGGCAAATTGCAAATGAATTTCACTTAGCAAATATTAATTTTCTCTATATGGATCATTCAAATCTAGGAGGAACTATTTCTACTCCTCCCATCTGAATTCCATACTAATTGTGTTTGTAAGCAGTTACTTTGTTCCACCTAAGACTCTGTTACCTTGGCCCTGCTCTGCTTCCTCTATATGCTTTTGCACATGCACATCTGTCCTTATTATGCTGCTTCTTTATTTTTTTAAACAGATTTCTTTTTGATCGCCATTTCTCAGTCATGTTTCCACAGGGTCCATTTTTTAATAACCATATTTACTGCAGTCTGTGTGACTGCACGAGTGACACAGCAGCTCTGTTTACATCAGATGGTAATGGGGATATTTTATATAAGGCTTGATGTCAAGCAGTTTTCTGAATTTGTTCACTGTCTTCTGCTAGCACATACTCAGTTGCTTTGAAACAGTCAGATCTACTACTGTTAGCATAAGGGTACTTGAGGAAAATAATATTGTAATTCCCTGGCAATATGTAATATGCCACTTTGAAATGAATATGTACTATCTTTATAATTTTTAATTTTGTTGAACCTATTCAGTGAAAAGGCAAAAAGTATGCTTATTTAAATTTGTAATTTAAAAGCATTCAGAATTTTATTGTGGCCAAGCATTAAGAGCACTTTGGAAAGATTTTAAAGCATGCTTTAGAAATACATTTTCATTAGTCAAAACAATAATTTCTGTTTTAGACTGCAGTGGTCTGAGGTAAACACATAGTTCATAAGCATCTTTTAAGATATGTAACCATAAATATATTCAAAACTGGTACTTTGTTTCTTTAACATTTCTTCTCATTAAAGTCTGTCCTAAAATAGTCTTATCCTATAATCTGTGGAATTTCCAAAGGATAAATTTTACTTTTCTTAAAGATGCAAAATCTTGTAGTTATCTTTAAGACTCCTCTGCATACCATTTTCCTAGTATGATGATGGAAAGATTTGGACTTACAGTCAGAAATGTGACTGCAAACATAGTGGTCATATTTCTCTTGTCATAAATTTGAGATTTTTAAAACAATGATCGTTTAGGGTTTTTTTTTTGCCTTTTGTGTTGCTTCAGTCTTTTTTGATTTTCTCAATTTTCTCAATTGAAAATAACAATATGACATGACAAAAACAATGTCTTAAAGGGAGAGTGATTGAAGAGGGCCCTGGTAAGCATATTTGTCATGTTAATGTAATCTTGACATTTTTGCCTCTCCTTTCATTATACTACTAAATAATTGAAAGTATGGATCAGTAGAAGTGAAACTTAGTAGACAATGAGGACGTCAGTCTCTGTTGAGGAAATGCTTCGCATTTCCATTTAGGAAAAGAGAAGGATTTAATATAACAGAATATTTAGGCTATTACTCCAATCCAAATAAAACAATAATTAACTCTCTGTTTGGGGATATTCATAATCCTTCAGTATTAAACATATTCAGTTGGTTATTTTATAACACCAAAATACAATTTAGATATAACTAATTCAAAATATGTCATAACTGAAATGTAAAACTATGCTAAATGTTATGTGTACACTGGTTTTGAAAAATAAGGTTTATTTTATAGCTTTTTAAAAAAGGCAAATTATAGTTGGGTATAGTGATGTAGCCCTATAATTCTAGCATTTCCATGGGGGAGGCAGGAATTCAAGGACAGCTTGGCTGCATTGAAGGCCCTGTGTCAAATGAAACAAATAAGCAAAAAGTTAATTTTGTTCTTGTGGTTAAAGAACAGATTAGGCACAAAACTACATATAAAGAGCAAATTACTATTTAAAAGTAGATTTTATACATTGGCAAATATAAATTGATGGGCTTGTTGTAGTAGCAGATTTAAACTAGGAATCCTATTGTATATTTCAAGTTAATGTACTGACTATGTGAAATGCAAGGTACTACAGATAGCAGTACTACAGATATGAGAAATGAGTGCAATGTTAGGCATATCTTAATTTTGGAGAGAACATAGATATTTACATAGTAAACATTTCACAATAAGCATTTTCAGACACCAGATGACTGTTTTGGAGGAATAAGATTAAGAGATTTATTTATATAGAGAAAAAAATGCTGTGTTCTAGCCAAAGAAGAAAACACAAGGAAAGATTGCAAAGTAGAATTGGCTATGCAACATTTGGTAAAACAACCTGACTCAAATGAAAAACATATTTGATGAATACTTGGTGTTAGGGTTAGACAGGTAGTATGAAGCCAAATTCTACAGGAGTGTGAAGACATACCAAAGTAAATAAGACTTTATGCTGGATGTACTTTAAGAGCTAGTGATTATATCTGAGAAGGAAAAAAATAAATATGTAAATATATGAAAAGATTAAAAAACATGGATGTGAAGGGGACATCATAGGAAAATAATTTAGGTGCCTATTATAGTGATTCTCTGGAGCTCTTATAAAAACTTGGACTGGAATAGTAGCAGGAAGGGACAGATCAAGGAGTTGTTTTCAAATCAAGGAAACAAATTTAAATCGGTGATATTACTAAAGTGTTTAGGGTAAACATTTGAGTTCCCATAGCCTGATAAAACTAGGCTAAGTCACCCATCTCTAATATGCAATTAAAGAGAAAGATGGTGGTAAAAATAGAGGAGATTCATTCATTGTGTCCATATTTGAAAGGAAAGAAACAAAGTGGTCCAGTGACCACAAGTCTGTCATGTAGGTACTAACTTGAAGACTGATTTTTATTATTTTTAATTATGTGTATTTGTGAGTATCTGTATGGAGGTGAGTGCAGTGACATCAGAGGTGAGAGAAAACAGATGCCCCTAGAAATGGTGTTATAGGCGATTTTCGGCTGCCTAATGCATGTGTTGGGAGCCGAATTTGGGTACTCTGCAACAACAGTATGCTATCTTAAACTCTGAGCCATCTCTTAGGTTTAAATAGAGGAAGAATTGGAGCTGAGAGGCAATAGATATGTACAATTTAGCATTATGTGTATTTGTGAGTATCTGTGTGGAGGTGAGTGCAGTGATATCAGAGACCAGAGACAACAGAACCACCTAGATCTGGAGTTATAGGTGGTTTTCAAATGCCTAACGTGGGTACTGGGAGCTGAACTTCGGTCCTCTGCAACAACAGTATGCTACCTTAAACTCTGAGCTATCTCTTAGGTTTAAACAGAGGAAGAATTGGAGCTGAGAGGCAATAGATATGTACAATTTAGCAATCCTCATTAGTGTGTGGTCTAGTTGGTCATTGTCTCTGTTCTGGTCCTACAAAGTAGTCCTAAAACGTCCTTATCCCTTGAGGGGATCAAATTGGTTCCTACAAGTTGATTACTTCTGTTCCAGGATACAGCCTTGACTTTATGGATAATTACCCTCTTCTTGGGGGTGGATGGGGTTCTGTCCAAGAAAATTTTGTACTTCTAGGAATCCAAGGTAACCACAGGCTTAGAACTGTGATTTATCTCTGTGTCTTCAGACAAAATGTAGGAGAAATACAAAAGGAAGGCAGAGTGTCAGACTTTCATTTTGCTTTTAATTACAATGGGCCCAAGTAGTAGTTGATGATTTTTTGCCAAAGTACTTTATAATTTTTCAGTGGCTTATTGAATATATAATTCCACCAGTTAGAAAAAGGAAGACCAAAATTAACAAAATATTTCTTGGAAACTTCAAAACTTATTTCATTAATACAAACAACAATGTTACATAAGAAACCTTTGCCAGAATATTTGTAGAAAGACAGTTTAGGGCATGTTTAATTCACTGAGATGATGAGTTATAGTTGTCTCTAAAAATGCTGTATTTTGTAAATTATTTACACTATTAAAAAGAAAGACCGCGTCTTTCTTGGCCCCCTTATATTTTTTCTGATAATAAGCTGTGTTAATTCTGGCTTGTGTTTCTGTTTTACTACTATTCTCTTCCCTACTATAGATATTCAACAGATATTTTATATGGTGCTTAGTAACATAACACATAATTTCTCTACATTTTGAACATGCTTCTTAGTTATTAATTCAACAGTTACTTTTGAAAAACTATATTATTTTACCTGTTTATTTCCTAAGATTAGAAAAGAAAGGAATAGGATTCTAAAACCAATTCCAATGTGATACTTGGAGCTTCTTACAATTCTGTTATTAGCTCACATTGTAGTTCATGTGATTGTATGAGAATTTAAAGGAATGATGTCCCCTGTTTTATATGTACTCCAACATATTCTATCCATTTTATAGTTAAAATAACAACTATGGGCAATAATGCAATGAAAATGCACTGCAGAATACAAAGAGACAGAAAATAAGTTCCATATAAGTACTTACAGATTTAATTTTGTCTGATGATGAATTAGCCCCTCTCTATTGTAGACAGAACAATTAATCTCATTCTAGTTTCCTGCTGACATTTATGGGCATGCAAATCACATTATCACTCTGTCTACAGAAAGTATCTCAAATATTTTAAACAGAGCAGATTGTGATTCCTAAGAGTGTGAATATACTCTTAATGTTATAGTAATGCCTCTTCTAAATAAGTGGCTTATTAAGAAGCTTGTAGTTAGTTCCATCTATGTGAAGATAAGTCAAAGGTCCTGCTCAACCATTGTTGGCTTCTCTTGGAAGCATGGAGGAAATGATTCCTC